TTTCCACTCTTCTATAGGTTGTCTTTTTATTTCTTGTTTCCTTTGCTATGCAAAAGCTTTATAAGCTTAGTTAGATCCCATTTGTTTGTTTTTGCTTTCATTTCTTTTGCCCAAGGAGACAGATTCATAAACATAATGCTGTGATACATCTCAGAGAGTATTCTGCTTATATTCTCTTCCAGAAATTTTATGATTTCTGGTCTTATATTTAGGTCTTTGATTCATTTTGAGTTTATTTTGAGTATGATGTGAGCGAATGTGCTAATCTCATTGTTTTACAGTTTTCCCAGCATCACTTGTTAAAAAGACTGTCTTCTCTCCATTCTCTATCCTTGCCTCCTTTGTCATAGTGTAATTGAATGTAAGTGTATGGATTTACATCTTGGATTTGCTTTGTTCCATTGACCCATGTGTCAGTTTTTGTGCCAGTACCATGATGTTTCCATTACTGTAGCTTTATAATATAGTCTGAAGTCTCCTATTTCCAGCTTTATTCTTTGTTTTCAAGACTACTTTGGTAATTTGGTGTCTTTTGTAGGTTCCATACGAATTTTAGGGCTATTTGTTCCAGTTCTATGAAAAATGTCATGGCTATTTTGATAGAGATTGCATTAAATTGGATTAGATGGCTTTGGTGATATTAATTCTTCCAATCTGAGAGCATAGGATATCTTTCCATTTCTTTGTATCACCTTCAGTTTCTTTTATTAGCATATTATAGTTTTCAGAGTATAAGCCTTGACCTGCTTGGTTAAGTTTATTCCTAGGAATTTTATTCATTTTGATGCAGTTTCAAATGGGATTAAAAAAAAGCTTTCTCTTCATTATTGTTCATTTTTTAATGTATTGAAACACAACAGATTTCTGTATATTAATCTTCTATCTTGCAACTTCACTGTAATTCATTTATTAGTTCTAATAGATTTTTGGGGATTTTAGAGTTTTCAATATAAAGTATCATGTCATCTCCAAATACTTAACTGTTTTACTTCTTCCTTTCCAATTGGGATGCCCTTTAGTTCTTTTTCTTGTCTGAGTGCTGTGTCTAGGATTTCCAATACTTTTTAAAATAGAAGTGGTGAGTGGGCATCCTTGTCTTGTTCTTGAGTTTAGAGGAAAGGCCTTTAGACTTCTACCACTGTGTGTGATATTAGCTGTGAGTTTGGCTTTCCTTATGTTGAGGTATGTTCCCTCTATACCCACTTTGAGAGTTTTCTCATCATGAATGATTATTTAATTTTGTGAAGTACTTTTTCTGCATCTATGGAGATGATCATGTAGTTTTTCTTTTTTATTAACATGGTGTATCACATTGATTTGTGATATGGAATCATCCCTGTGGCCTTAGAGTAAATCCAACTTATGGTATATGGTCCTTTTTATATATTACTAAATCAGTTCACTATTATTTTGTTGAGGATTTTTGTATCTATATCAATCAAAGATATCAGCTTGTAATTTTCTTTTTTGGTAGTGTCCTTGTGTGGTTTTGGTATCACGGTGATGATGGCCTTACCCTGAATCTGGGAGTGTTTTGTCCTCTTGAACTTTTTGGAATACTTTGAAAGGCATAGGTATTAGTTCTTCTTCACACATTTTGTTGAATTCTTCTGTGAAGCTGTCCAGTACCAAACTTTTGTTTACTGGGTGATTTAAATTACAAATTCAATTTAATTACTAGTGATAATTTGTTTAAATTTATCTGCTGCTTCTTAGTCTTGAAAAGTTGCATGTTTCTAGAAGATTTGTCAATTTCTCTGGATTATTCAGTTTGTTGGCATGTAACTGTTCATAGTATTCTTACGATTTTTTTGTATCTCTGTGGTATAATTTTGTATATTTCTTTTTTTGTTTTTTTTATTGTGTTTATTTGGGTCCTTTCTCTTTTCTTTTTGGCAAGCCCAGCTAAAGGTTTACCTATTTTTCTTTTTTAACTTTTCAAAAAACCAGCTCTTTTAATTGCTCTTGATCTTCTCTGGTCTTTTTTGGTCTCTATTTTATTTATTTCCTCTCTGATCTTCATTTCCTTCCTTTCTGCTGACTTTGGTTCTTTGATTCCTTTAGGTGGTAGGTGGGGTTGTTTATTTGAGGTTTTTATTGTTTCTTGAGAAAGGCCTGTATCACTATAAACTTCCCTCTTAGAGTTGCTTTTGTTTGGTATATCCTGTTGATTTTGGAGTGCTTTCTTTTTCATCAGTCTTGAGGTATTTGGTGAATTCTCTTTGATTTCTTCATTGACCCATTGGTTTTTTAATAGTTTGTTATTTAGTATTTATGTGTCTGTTCTTTTCCTGTTTTTCTTTCTGCAATTTATGTAAATGATTTCTAATTTCATACCACTGTGGCTTGAAAAAATCCTTGAGATTATTTCTATCCTCTTAAATTTGTTGAGACCTGTTTTGAGGCTTAGTATGTGATCTATCTTTGATAATACTTGAGTGCACTTAAAAAGAATGTGTATTCTTCTGTTTTTGGATAAAATGTCCTGTAGATATCTATTGAGTCCAGTGGTCTGATTCATCATTTAAGACTACCATTGCCTTAATGATTTTCTGTCTGGGTGATCTGACCCTTGTATTAATGGGATATTAGAGTCCCTTACTATTATTGTATGATTGTCAGTTTCTCCTTTTATGTTTGCTAGTATTTGATTTAGATATTTGTTATTGTTGCTTAGTCACAAATTAGTGTCCAACTCTTTGGACTAACCCCATCAGGCTCCTTTGTCCATGGGATTTTCCAGGCAAGAATACTGGAATGCAGTGCCATTTTTATATTTAGGTGCTCCTATATAATACCAGACCACCCGACCTGCCTCTTGAGAAACCTGTATGCAGGTCAGGAAGCAACAGTTAGAATTGGACATGAAACAACAGACTGGTTCCCAATAGGAAAAGGAGTATATCAAGGTTGTATATTGTCACCCTGCTTATTTAACTTATATGCAGAATACATCATGAGAAATGCTGGGCTGGAAGAAGCACAAGCTGGACTTAAGATTGCCAGAAGAAATATCAATAACCTCAGATAGGCAGATGACACCACCCTTATGGCAGAAAGTGAAGAAGAACTAAAGAGCCTCTTGATGAAAGTGAAAGAGGAGAGGGAAAATGTTGGTTTAAAGCTCAACATTCAGAAAACTAAGATCATGGCATCCTGTCCTGTCACTTCATGGCAAATAGATGGGGAAACAGTGGCAGACTTTATTTTTTTGAGCTCTAAAATCACTGCAGATGGTGATTGCAGCCATGAAATTAAAAGACGCTTACTCCTTGGAATGAAAGTTATGACCAACCTAGACAGCATATTAAAAAACAGAGACATTACTTTGTCAACAAAGATCCGTCTAGTCAAGGCTATGGTTTTTCCAGTGGTCATGTATGGATGTGAGAGTTGGACTATAAAGAATTGATGCTTTTGAACTGTGGTGTTGGAGAAGACTCTTGAGAGTCCCTTGGACTGCAAGGAGATTCACCCAGTCCATCCTAAAGGAGATCAGTCCTGGGTGTTCATTGGAAGGACTGATGCTGAAGCTGAAACTCCAGTACTTTGGCCACCTGATGTGAAGAGTTGACTCATTTAAAAGACCCTGATGCTGGGAAAGATTGAAGGCAGGAGGAGAAGGGGATGACAGAGATGAGATGGTTGGATGGCATCACCAACTCAATGGACAAGTTTGGGTAAACTCCGGGAGTTGGTGATGGACAGGGAGGCCTGGCACGCTGTGGTTCATGGGGTTGCAGAGTCAGATACGACTGAGTATTGAATTGACTGAACTGATATTGAGTATATATTTGTTATGACTATAATATCCTCTTCTTTATTGATCCCTTTATCATTATATAATGTATTTCTTTTTGTTCTATTATAGTCTTTGCTTTAAAATTTATTTTGTCTGAGTATTTTGTGAGTATTGCTCTACTATCTTTTTATTGCTATTGACATGAGATATCTTTTTCCCTCCTCTCACTTTCAGTCTGTGTGTCTTTAGCTCTGACACAAGTCTCTTGGAGGCAGCAAATTGGAAGCTCTTATTTTTTAATATAGTCAGCTACTCTATATCTTTCAGTCAGAGCATTAGTCTACTGTCAATACATAAAGTACATTGATAAGTATGTACTTATCATGATTTTATTACTTGTTTTCTGGTTGTTTTTAAAATTCTCTGTTAATTTCTTTTTCTTTCTTTCCTTGTGTTTAGATTTTTTCCAGTGGTTGTATGTTTGTGTTCCTTTCTTTTTTGTTCATCTGTTGTTGGTTTTTGATTTGTGGTTACCATGGAGTTTGTATATATTGACCTAAAAGTATATTTACTTGTTTTAAACTGGTAGTCATTTAAATTAAAACACATTCTAAAAGATCTATATTTTTTACTCTCATCCTCTACATTTTGTTTCCAGTGTCATATTTTACATTTTCATGTTTAACCCTTAGCTATTTATTGTAGTTTTGTTGTGGTTGTTCAGTCACCAAGTTGTGTCCAATTCTTAGTGATCCCATGGACTGCAACATGATAGGCTTTCCTTTCATCCACTTCCCCCCAGAGTTTGCTTACGTTCATGTCCATTGAGTCAGTATGCTATCTAATCATCTTATTCTCTGTTGCCCTTTTCTCCTTTAGCCTTCAATCTTTCCAGCATCCAGGTCTTTTCCAGTGAGTCAGTTCTTCAGATTAGGTGGCCAAAGTATTGGAGCTTCAGCTTCAGTGTCAGTCCTTCCAATGTATATTCAGGATTGATTTCTTTTAGGATTGACTGTTTTAATCTCCTTGCTGTTCTAGGGACACTCAAGAGAATTCTCTAGCACCACAGTTTGAAAGCATGAGTTCTTCAGTGCTCAGCCTTCTTTATTGTCTAACACTCACATCCACATATGACTACTGGAAAAATATAGCTTTGACTATACGAACATTGGTCAGCAAAGTGATGCTTTTGTTTTTTTTTAATTTATTCATTTTTTCACTTTGACAGTTTTTAATGAAAGCTGTAGACAAGATGACTTTATTCCTGCATCTTCTCAATTGTTTCTTCCTTATATTTGCCCTTTTCCTTTCCTACTTGGCGAGATTTGGCTTTACGTTCGAGGATCTTTTTGCGGTCTTCGTCCAGTTTTAGTCTGGTGATAACCACCTTGCTGGGGGGAATGCCCGCATGGACCGCTGTGCCATTAGCCTTCTCCCGCTGCACTGGTTCAGTGTAGATGCCGTATTTCTTCCTGTCAACCTGGACCACTTTGCCAAGTTGCTGCCCTTTGTGGTGTCCTCTTACAACCTGAACTTCATCATCCTTTCGGATGGGCATAGATCGAACGTTGTACTTGTCTTAGCTCTTTAGAAAGAGGAGAAGACAGAATTTTCCTGCGAATGTGGGACGGCGCATTGAAATGCCTTTTTCGATTCTTGCTTCGGTCAGAAGTCACAAAGGGATTGAACTTCATTTTGGCCGCTGGCGCTTCAGCTATGGCCACAGAAGGGAAGAGATCTGCAGGCTGCTTCCGGTTCTGCCTTTGTTTTTTTTAATATGCTGTCTAGTTTTGTCATAACTTTCCTTCCAGAAGCAAATGTCATTTAACTTCATGGTTGCACTCATCATATGCAGTGTTTTGGACCCCAAGAAACGAAAATTTGTCACTGCTTCTAATTTTTCCCCTTCTATTTGCCATGAAGTGATGGGACCTGGTGCCATGATCTTTGTTTTTTGAATGTTGATTTTTAAGCCAGCTTTTTCACCCTCATTAACATACTCTTTAGCTCCTCTTTGTTTTAGCGTAGTTATCATCTGTATGTCTGAAGTTATTGATATTTATCCCAGCAATCTTGATTCCAGCTTGTGACATGCATTTTGTGATGTACTCTGCACATAAGTTGAATAAACAGGGTGACAATATACAGCCTTGTCATACTCCTTTCCCAAATTTGAATCAGTAAGTTGTTCCATGTAAGGTCCTAACTGTTGCTTCTTGACCTTCACAAAGGTTTCTCAGGAGGCAAGAAAGGTGGTCTGGTATTCCCATCTCTTTAAGAATTTTCCAGAATTTGTTGCAATCCACACAGTCAAAGGCTTTCTCATAGTCAGTGAAGCAGAAGTAGACATTTTTCTGAAATTTTCTTGCTTTCTTTGATCCAGCAAATGTTGGCAATTTGATCTTTGGTTCCTCTGCTTTTTTGAAACCCTGCTTGAACATCTGGAAGTTCTTGATTCATGTACTGCCGAAGCCTTGCTTGAAGGATTTTGAGCATAATCTTACTAGCATGGGAAATGAGCACAATTGTCCTGTAATTTGAATATTCTTTGGCACTGCCATTCTTTGGGGTTGGAATGAAATCTGAGTTTTCCAGCCCTATGGCCACTGGTGAGTTTTCCAAATTTGCTGACTTATTGAGTGCAGCACTTTAATAGCATCATCTTTTAGGATTTGAAATAGATCAGCTGTATTTTTATCACCTCCACTAGCTTTCTTCATAGTAGTGCTTTCTATGGCCCACTTGACTTCACACTCCAAGAGATCTGGCTCTAGGTGAGTGGTCACACCATCATGGTTATCTGGGTCATTAAGACATTTTTTGTACAGTTCTTCTGTGTATTCTTTCCCTCTTCTTAGTATCTTCTGCTTCTGTTAGGTCCTTACTATTTCTGTTTTTATTGTGTCTATCCTTGCATGAAGTGTTCTTTTTATATCTCCAGTTTTCTTGAAAAGGTCTCTGTTTTTTTTCCCATTCTATTGTTTGTCCTCCGTTTCTTATGCATTGTTCATTTAAGAAGGCCTTCATATGTTTCCTTGCTATTCTTTGGAACTCTACATTCAGTTGGGTTTATCTTTCCCTTTCTCCCCTGATTTTCATGTCTCTTCTTTTCTCAGCTATTTATAAAGCCTCCTCAGACAACCACTTTGCCTTCTTGCATTTCCTTTTCTTGAGGATTTTTTTGGTCACTTCCTCCTATACAATTTTACAAGCCTCTGTCTATAGTTTTTCAGCCACTCTGTCTATAAGATCTAATCCCTTGAATCTATTCATCCTCCACTGTATGGTTATAAGTGATTTGATTTAGATCATACCTGAATGGCCTAGTGGTTTTCCCTACTTTCTTCAACTTAACCTAAATTTTGCAGTAAGGAGCTGATGATCTGAGCCACAGTCAGCTCCAGGTTTTGGTTTTGCTGACTGTATAGAGCTTCACCAGCTTTGGCTGCAAAGACTATTACATATGTTATATATAATATAGTATAATATGATATAGGATAATATAATATATGAATAATATAATTGTAGTTATAGTTGATTTTAATTTTTTTTTCTTTTATCTTTGTACTGGCTTATTTAAGTGTTGATTCTCACTCCTCTCTGTATAATGCCTTTCCTAGTGGGATTTTTCCTTGACTATAGATTATTAGTTTTTTTCCACTTCTGGAAAACCCTTTTTATTTAGGGTATTTTCAGTTAAAACACTCCTTTAATTCTTTAGTTTTGCTTGAAAAGTTTAGCATTTCTCTTTCTAGTCTAAATGATAACCATGCTGGGTAAAATATCCTAAGTTACAGGTTTTCCGCTTTCATCTCTTGAATATATCATGCCACTCCCCACTGACCTACAAAGTTTCTGCAGAAAAATTAACTAGTAGCCTTATAGGGATTCCCTTGTATATGACTCTTTTTTTCTTGTTGCCTTTAGTATTTTCTCTAACTTTAAATTTTGCCATTTTAATTATAATACATCTTGGTGTGGGTTTGTTTGAATTCATCTTGTTTGGAACCGTCTGTGCTTCCTGTAGCTGGATATCTGCTTCCTTCTTTAGGTTTGGGAAGTTGTCAGCCATAATTTAATTAAATATATTTTTGATCCCTTTTCTTTCTCTTCTCCTTTTGGGACCTCTATAGTGAGAATGTTGGTGTGATTAATATTTATGGCAGAGATCTCTTAGGCTGTATTAGTTTTTTAAAATCTGTTTTTTTTCTGTTGTTTTGATAGGGTGATTTCCATTTTCTGTCTTCCAGATCACTTGTATTCTTCTATATTACTTAGTCTTTTATTTATTCCTTTTCCTGTATTCATTTCAGTGATTGAATTCTTCATTTTTGGTTGGTTTTTTTTTATATTATCTAGTTCCTTGTCAAAATTTTCATTGTATTCATCTATTGTTTTTCCCATTTCAGTTAACATTTTTTACTACCAATGCTTTGAATTCTTTGACTGGTAAATTAGAACTGTTTCATACTGTTTCATTCTTTTTCAGAGGTTTTCTCTTGCTCTTTCCATTAAAAGCACCACTCACTTGCCAGGATGGTTGTTTATCCATGTATTCTCCCTTTTCCTCTTAGTCCGCTTTCAGAAGCAAAGTTTCCAAATGATTGCTTTCCTTTCCTCTCTGCCTGATTACATGTACATCTTTCTTAGGGCTGTGATTGTATGGAGGGCTTGATGGTGGTGGTGTTCTTCTGCCAGTTGCCAGTTAGTTTTCAGTGAGAATTATTCACATGTAGATGCATTTTTAAGTTTTTTTGGGGGGAATGTGTATGTGTTTATTTTTGATGTGTTTGTGGTGAGAGGTGAGCTCCACTTCCTCTTCGACTATCCCCCATAATGTCTGTATTCTAGATTTTAGAATTTAAATTTTAAAATAGTAGACCAGTGATTTGGAACATGAAGGAAGAAGCAGGTTGATATATTTGTTGTATATATAGATTATATATAAAATATAGATTAGTACTTTATAGATTATATTTGCTGTATATATAGATTATATATAAAGTATAGATTAATAATAGAGCATGACCAGTAAATTAAAAAAATTTGAACAATATCTATGAAGAAATATACACAGCACAGTTGACAGGTTAAGAGCATGGATTTTGGCCAGTCACAACTGAGATGTATCTTCATTCCACTTAAAGACTTTGTGAAATTGGGTAAATTACTCTGCCTCTGGATTCAGTTGCTTCAGTTATCAAATAGGGATAAAAATAGCACTTATTCATACAGTTTATCTGAGATTGAGATAATACACCAAAATGCTCTATAGTGTCTGATATGTAAAAGTCCTAAATGCATGTTAGCTCTTAGTAAGAGCAATTCTAGGCAAAGTGTCTTCCCCTGGTAAAGCATAGTGAAAACAACACTTCTGTATTACTCTATCAGGGAACTTGATCTCCTTTAGGAAGAACCATGGCAGTAACTTTCAAGAGCCATAAAATTAAGTAGTCTTTTTCTAAATAACAACAATTCCAAACACTCATTTTAAGGGAAAGAATTTAACGTTAGAAAAATCTGCATGCCAGGAGATGTTATCTGTAGCAGAGTATCGGAAACAACTGAAAAGAGTCAATGTTAAATCTATATAAGTGGATAAATATTTTGTCATCATATAGTAACAATTATGAAGAGGAGAAAATGTAAAAGTACTAACAAAGACATGAAAAAAAAATCATGGAAGAAACTTGTATATAAATACATTATGAATTGACCTGTGTGAAAAAGGGAATATAGTGTGTTGGCATGGTTGGTGACTATGAATAAGCATTGATAAGGGTTTATGGGGGCAGCCTACTGACTTAATATAATGTACTCTTTGCATCTAAGGAAAAAAGTAGAACGCCTTAGATCACTTTCTGTGGGTTGCTTGTATCATTTAGGATTAGCCTGTGAAAATCTCCCAAGGGCTTCATTTAGTCAGCATTAAGTCAGCTTTATCTCCTCCCAGAGCTATCTATCTCAATCAACTCCTATTCTGTATGTATTCATCTACATGTCTCATCAGGAATGTGGCGGTAACAAGTTGAGTGAACATAAAATACTCTGGGGGAAAAAAAAAAGAAACTCAGCAGGAGACGTTGAGGTCCAAGTGTTCTGAGCAGGACAGCTTCATAATTGTGCACTGACTAAAAAGAGAGATTCTGTCTTGTCTTTAAATTGTTCAGGGGCCAGACAAGCTTGTTTTTATATAACAGGATTAATGACAGCACTGAAAGTGCAAGCCCAGTTTGTTGGCCCAAATAAGTTATAAGTTTGCAAAGAAAGGTGCAAAGCCATGAAAATGAGTTTGCTAGCGACGTTTGGAACCCAACAGTTAAATGGCTGATGGTATTACTTGCACTGTTACTCCTCAAGCCCCCAAACTCCAAACTTCTTATTTCTCCACCCAAGATAGGGCTTTATGAGGAATGCCATCTGTGAGAAACATTCTCTTTAGTAAACTTGCATGAACTTGCTTTAGTTCATTTTCTAATTCAGAATCTTTCTCCTCCTATCACTGTTGTGAATTAAATGCACTGGATG